AAACCCAGGAGGCAGAGGTTGCAGCCAGCTGAGATCATACCACTATACTCCAGCCTGGGTGACAGAACGAGACTCTGTCTCATTAAAAAAAATTGTGTTGGAATAAGTGCATTTGGTCCTGTGTTCAGGGATACATAGTTAAGAGGAAGAACTGGGCAGCAACCTTGAGCCTTTGTGTCCCCATCTGGAAAAGGCAGATGGAAGTGACTGGCTCTGGCCCACCCTGGGGTTCACCCAGCCAACGTCTATCAACTCCAGGGCTGCTGAATGATTCCATCAAAACCCATGGCTACCTCAATAACACCACATCGGAAATCTCAGACAACGCTGCTTGCCCAGTTCATCTCCCACACACCACCACCCTGGCTAGACAGGGTTGGGGACCCAGACAAAGGCTCAAGCATCTGCCCCCAGGGTATGGTGGCCTGGCCTTTTGGCGCCCTGGGGTACTCATGGCAGAGCCTGAGGAAGTCTGTCTGTAGCTCCTTCTGGGCATTCAGGAACATTCTCTCCTTCTCCGTGCCCACCATGAAGGTGCTGTCATCATGCACTGCAACAGAGGCCACCTCGGCATTCAGTTTGGACAGCACTGAGCACTGTGGGAGAGCAGGGTGTGTGAGTGGAAGAAACCCTCCACTTCAAACACAGCTAGTACCCGCTTCCGGGGTGGGATGTGAGCTCCCAACTGCCTGAGACCCCAGCAGTGGCTCCAGGAACAGATGGTCTCTACACTGTTCAAGGTCTTAGATTCTGTAGTGGGATTGAATGAATGACCCTCCATGGATTGGCGATGGGGGCTGGAGGAGGACAGATGTCCTCTGCTAAGTTCCTACCTCCAAGGTCCTAACCTTCAAGGAAAGCCCACCTTAGCTCCAGCCCAAGGGACAATCCCATGCTGGGTTTTCTTGGTCCCTCTCAAGTCCTGGATGAGGAGGAGGTGGGAAGAACCACAGGAGAAGTGGGGATCGGACAGATTGGGGCTGCAATCCCACCTCAGCCACTTCTGCTGTGGGATGTGAGCAAGTCATGTCCCTTCTCTGGGCTCCAGTTTCCATATTTGTTTTTTTGTTTTTTGAGATGAAATTTCACTCTGTCACTCAGGCTGGAGCGCAATGGTACAGCCTTGGTTCACTGCAACCTCCACCTCTCAGGTCCAAGTGATTCTCCTGCCTCAGCCTCCCCAGTAGCTGGAATTATGGGCATGTACCACCACACCTGGCTAATGTTTATATTATAAGTAGAGATGGGGTTTCACCATGTTGGCCAGGCTGGTCTTGAACTCCTGACCTCAGGTGATCCACCTGCCTCAACCTCCCAAAGTGCTGTGATTATAAGTGTGAGCCACTGTGCCTGGTCAGTTTCCATGTCTGTAGAACTGGGGACAAGAAGCCCAACTCCATGGTGCCACTGGGCTTGGGTTTGGGGATTCAATGGTTGGAGGAAAAGGATCTCTAAACTGGGCCATTTGATATGGGTATACATGCAGCTGGCTATGTTCATGGCCCCAGAGCCGAGGTCTGCAGCCCCATGGCACAGAGGCCTTAATAGGGGGTTCCTGCAACCAACACCACCAGCATCTCAGGTCTCTGACCTGCCTGACTAGGAAAATGCTGACTGTGAAGCCTGAGACATGCAGTTGTGCCTGACAAATGCTGGTTTTCATCTGAATCCAGTGGTACAGGCAGCTAGAAAGTCTGGCTTCCAATTGCAGTTCTGTGCTGTGTGACCCAGGACAGGTAACCACTTTGGGGACAATCTTGCCACTTTCCCAGGGGTGTTTCCCACCTCTGTCCCAAACACCACCTAAGCAGCCCTTGAGCCACCTACAGCAGGAAGAGCTTGAAGAAAGCCCTTTATTTTGTGGGAGATTTTGCACCCAGAAGTTAAATTTAAAAACTGGTCATGCTTCAGGAAGATATTACCCTCTATGTGCTTCATCATCCTAAAATGCAGGGGTGCAACCAACTGATGTTAGACAGGTATTTTATTTTATTTTAATTAAATTCTTTTTTTTATTGAGACAGAGTCTTAATCTGTTGCCCAGGTTGCCCAGGAATGCAATGGTGCAATCTTGGCTCACCACAACCTCCACCTCCCAGGTTCAAGTGATTCTCCTGCCTCAGCCTCCCAAGTAGCTGGAACTACAGGCATGTGCCACCACACCTGGCTAATTTATATTTTCAGTAGAGACAGGTTTCTCCATGTTGGTCAGGCTGGTCTCCAACTCCCAATGTCAGGTGATCCACCCACCTCAGCCTCCCAAAATGCTGGGATTTCAGGTGTGAGCCACTATGCCCAGCTAAAAAAAAAAACCAAAACATTAAATTGAGACACAATCTCACTCTGTTGCCCAGGCTGGAGTGTGGTGACATAATCTCAGCTTGCTGCAACCTCCACCACCCAGGTTCAAGCAATTCTCCTGCTTAAGACTCCTGAGTAGCTGGGACTACAGGCATGTGACACCATGCCAGTCTAATTTATTTATTTATTTATTTATTTATTTTCAGACGCCATTTCCTTTTGTCACCCAGGCTGGAGTGCATTGGTGCAATCTCTGCTCACTGCAACCTCCATTTCTGGGGTTCAGGTGATTCTCCTGTTCAGCCTTCCCAGTAGCTGGGATCACAGCCTACTCCACTGTGCCTGGCTGATTTTTGTATTTTTAGTAGAGATGGAGTTTTGCCATGTTGGCCAAGCTGGTCTGGAAATCCTGACCCCCAGTGATCCACCCACCTGGACCCCTAAAACAGCTGGGATTAAAGGCATGAGCCACCATGCTGGGCCAGATTTTTTTTTAACACTTGCATCACAGAACTTCCCCCCAGGAAAAGGCTGGAGGAAAATGATATTACGATGTCCTCATTTGGGATAAATTGCTATAGGTCTAGGCATGTAGGCAACAGCACCAGAGGAGGGATGTGTTATACAAAGCCCTGTTTCTCTCTTCCCATACCAGATGCAGTAAGAGCTCTTGCTTTAATGTTGGAAATTACAGCTTTCTTTTCTTTCATTTCTTTTCTTTTCTTTTTTTTTTTTTGAAACGGAGTCTTCCTCTGTCACCGAGGCTGGAGTGCAGAGGCACAATCTCAGCTCACTGCAACCTTCACCTCCTGGGTTCAAGCGATTCTCCTGCCTCAGCCTCCCAGTAGCTGGGATTGCAGGCATGAGCCATCATGCCTGGCCTAAAGTTTCTGTTATTTTAAGTCACCAGATCTGTGGTCCGTGTTACAGAAGCTTCAGGAAATTTACACCGGCTCCTTCACTGGCTGTACGTGACCTCCCAAAGACAGTCCATACCCTCAGCCCCTTGGACATTCAGTCCTCAGCTTAGACCTCTGCAAAGCTCAGGCCTGGGTTTGCTGGAGAGCTCTCCAATCTCTTCCCCCTTGGAAGCGCCACTAGAAAGAGTTGGATGTTTTTGGACACCAGGGAAGCATCTCTGTGATTCAAGTCTCACTGCTCTATGGACAAGCTGGGGCATTGGAGCTGATGGAGAAAATAAAATAAACCCAACCACATAAAAGGCAAAGGTAGGCACACACCCCACCCAAACATGGTCCCCACACCATCCACTGCCAGATGCTTGTGTCTTGAAAAAGAAGACTGAGAGAACAAACAAAAGAAATTTCTCCCCTTCTGGAAGGGGGGATATACTTTCTCCCCAGCAGACCTAGCCTCCCCGTGAGTACCCCCCTCTCCTGTCCCAGAAGCTCCTCAGTGGGGATAGAGTGACCTGGGGGTCCTGCATTCCTGCCCCCCCCACACAGTGTCACTTTAGCTGGGGAGAACACTGCCAGTCAGAGCCCTGGCCTTCCATTCATATCTGCTCAGGCTGGGCTCTGGGTTGGGCAGCCAAAGGGGGTCTTACACCTGTCTGCAGTGCAGTAGAAGACCATCTGGGGTTGTA